CCAGTTTTATTTTATATCAGAGGTATCTACAGAATTTAGATTCATAAGCTTTACTATCGAACTTTATTTAAAAAATATATTAAAGAAAAAGAAAGGTATAAATAATTTTTTTTTCTGATGATTTTTCATAGGGTAAAAGGACCATATCCTACCCTATAGACACCTCTGTTTTTTATTCATTTAAGTTTTGTTTCATATAAATTTGTACATAATCAAAACTGGCTATGATCACTTCGATGATAATTTGTTTTTGACGGTTCTATTATCAATTTGAGAAAAAAGTTTGACTATATTGTGCGATGTATATTTATTTTAGATATAAAAAAAAACTATGGTAGATGAGCTTGAAACTTTTTTAATAAAGATGAAAGTTCTTCGCATTTTACGTGCGAAATCTTTCAATTTTTAATATAAATTTCTTGAAACAAGTATAATGGAACAGACTATTCATTTCAATAGATATTACGACTACCTCACCTGACAGTACTAGATGTCTTGTTGCATAGGAATATGTAAAGAATATTGTTTGAACAATTAAGAAAATAATCTTGTTTCTTTTTTGAATGCAATTGGTTCTCTATATTCATTGATTTAATGTATATTTAGGTATATTTCTTCTGATTTAATTTGTCAAATAACAATAATGTTTTGGATGGACCAAGAAGATGACATGCCAACAGAAGAATGTTGGAATAATGATTTTTCTCAAATTCTCGAACGGTATGATAGAAAGTGAATTCGATTCAAATTAGATCAGATCTTTACTTGATTAATTTTTTTGCTTCAGTTATCTTCCAAATACTGCAGATATTCCACCACAAACATTGTATGATATTAATCCAATATATCCAAAATTAACACCAAATGAATGGGTAATAATGAACGAAAATATATCAACAACAATATTGAAATCAACAAATAATAATACAAATCTGTTGTTTTTAACGTACTCGGAAATTACTTTTCGTCAAGAAATTATTCATTTTGTACGTCGTTATCGTAATTTATTATTAATAATTTTAATATTAATATTAATAGTATCAATCGGACTTTTAATATTCATTATTATTATTAATAGAATTCCATCATGGAAAAAGAAAGAATATTTTTCACGAAATAAGACTCGATCAAAAGCTATTGCAGTCGGAGGTGAGACAAGTTCATTGAGTGAATGGCTTACAAAACGACGATTTCAACAATATGATCAAGATAATTTTGATCATATTGAAAGTGAACCATTAACATATAAACATCGATGGGCTTCATCAAGTGAAGAAACTGATATTTCCGATAATGAAGTTTTTAATAAAACTGATTTTCAAAATGTTATACTTAAAAATTGAATAGTTTTCTTACACAATAAAATTAAAACAATATAAGTCATGTGGTCATTGTTTTTTCTTTCTCGAGAAGTTTGATAAAGAATGAGGCTTTTGAAATAAAACAAAATATTTTATTACTCATTCCAAGAATCATCATAATTCCTTTTCGTTTAAGAATATTTCAATTCATTAAATAGACTACATGGATTGATAAAATAGTCTTTCTTAATCTTGTTATTTAAATTTTCTTTGTTGAATTTTCATTATTTGATTGAATTATTTAAGATAATCATCAGAACTATGCGAAACAAGACTGATGATGAGCAAATTAAAAGATTATTCATCTCGATTTTTCAAATGATACTCAAAATAAAGTATGGAGATGATACTGTTGGTAACATCATCCAAGTAGAACACTCAATGATCCATCTTTTGAAAAAAAAACGATCAACGTTTTTTTTATGTTTCTGAACAGAGTTACCAGCCAAAACAAAAAATATGGCAAAAGTTTGTTTCCTATTATATGCGATGATTATCTATTAAATGTTCATCATCTTAAAATATTCTCGATCTTATGTTTTATTTCTTGTTATAAAAGAAATTGAAGAGAAATTTCATCAGAGAAACTCATAACGAATCTCATCTGATGTAAACAGAACATAAAATCACCTTTTCCCTATCGATATTAATTGAAATCGATGTCCATCAATGTGTTGAACGGCGACCTCTACCACTTTAAGTTGCCAGGTGATTCAATTTGAATCAGATCAATGCATGGTGTTTTACATTTGTGAATTGTACTTTCTAAAAATCGACACATTTGTTAGTATTATATTACAATGACTTATCGAGATATTAGTAGTATGTAGTTTCATTTCTCTTCAATGATATATAATACTGTTTATTTATTAAATTGAGATCTATGTGAGATGGCTCGAGTTCTTTCCTATCCACGTTTAATTTCGATGGAAAATTTTCGTCAACCAAATTTTCGTCTTGTTGCTGAATTAATGACTTGGCTTGTTAAACAGTATAATAAAAATTGTTTCTTTTCTTTTCTTTTTTTCTCTTTTCTATCAATTTAGATATGATCCACAAGCTGATATTCCACATGATATTGAAGGTGAACAAGATCGTGTTATGTTTATTCGTACTATTGCTCAAACTATTGTATGATCTATATTATTTCATGTTGTTGTGTTTTGGTTCTTTGAAATCTTTTTTGTATTCATATTTAAGGCTACTAAAGCACATATGAAATTAAATACAAAGAAACTTTATCAAGCTGATGGCTATGCTGTTAAAGAAATTCTTAAAGTTATAACACCACTTTATAAAGCTTTACGTGATAGTGAAAATAAAGATTTAGATGATGAAGATGATATTGATTATCAATATCGTTATGCCATAAATGATGATGTTAGTATTGTCTTTATGGTTTTTTTTTTTAAATAATTGTTTGTGTATGAGTTTTTCAGATGAGTACACTTAGAAATGCTCGTTTACTTTGCTCAACAATAACACAAAAAGGTGCTAATTTACATGAATTATTAGGAAAAGAAATTGATGCACGAGTATATATGAAATTGAATTTTGTTTAATATATTGATTAAAATTTCATGTAGGAAGCACGACAAGAAGTAATAAATCGAGCTATGGAATTATCTGAAGTTCAAGAAGGCATACACGAAGCTGAAAATGCAGCTAAAGTATGTTAATTAAAAAAAACAATGAAAGATTATTTAAATAATATTTTCTTTCTTTTTTTCTCTAAAGCGTGAATTCATAAAATATGATAAATTAATAAATAATGTTCAAATTGATGAAGTAGCACTTGATGAAAAAATAGCTAAACGTATGGAAGAAATTAATCGTCATCAACGACGACTTGAAATGTTAAGGAGTGTCAGGTATTTAAAAAACAAAAATTTATTG